TCTTTGTTTCTGATGAATTGGACGTTATTGATGAAGCAGAGTTACGGACCTCAATGTTTGCTTCTTGTAATAACTTGCGTGATTCTTCAAGTTCCGCAATTTTATCTTGTAAAGACTTAATAACATTATTTTGCTGTGCAATGGTGGCTTCTTGACGTGAGAGTTTGGATTGTTCACGTGAACTTATATCATCATCGGGTGAACCAATGTCCTTGGAGGATCTGGGGCTCATCTTGATTTCATTTTCAAGCTGATCATTGATCTCTATAAGTCTAGTAATTTCTTTCTCCATTTCTTTTGTATCAGCTAAAGTTTGTTTCTTTAAATCGAAAATTTCCCTTTCCAAATTAACGATTTGTTCGTTTAATTCAGCAACTTGAGCACTCGTTTTATTTTCTCCAGTATTCACAGATCGTAATTGTTGCATTAAGAATTCAATCTTTTGATCAAGTTTTCCACGTTCATCAAAAAGTGCCTCATTAGCTTCTTCTAATCCATTTTTTTCCATTTCAAGTTCTTTTATCTTATCTTTTAATACTTTTATGGATTCTTGATCACTTGATCCAAGTCGAGTAAGTTCATTTTCTAAGGATTTAACTTTATCATTTAGTACTTGTGTTTGTTCTTCTGCTTCAGCAATTTTTGCATTCAGATTATCGTTCGTCTGACGCAATTGTTCATTTGCAGCTGCAAGTTTAACAAGCGATGGACTTGTATGTTCAGATCCATTAAAGTCTGTAACCATGTCATCAGAGTAATTTTTCTTTGCTTCTCGTAAAGCATTTTCCAATTCTACAATACGACACTTTTGTTGTTTAGATAATTCATCAGCGTCTTCAAATTTAGAAGCGGCTTCTGCAAATTCTTCAGCTAATGTTTCAAGATCTTTTTGTAATTGTTCAACTTGATCTTCAAGGTCTTCATTACGTTCGCATTGTATTTTCTTCTCGGATTCAAGTTGTTTAGTAGTTTTTTCCAATTCGGCGACACGATCTTGTTGTTCTTGAACTTGACTTAGAGCTTTTTTAAGTTGACTAGTAAGCTCTTCAACTATATTACTATCAATGTTTTCATAGCTCTGAATGACAGAATCACGATGAGCATTACCAATCTCTTCTTGTAATTGCGCACATTTCTCTCTGAGTGATGAAATTTCTTCTTCTGCTTGTTTAAGTTTAGAAATTTCTTGTTGATGACGATTTTGAACTTCTTGAAGTTTATTTTCCAAACTTTTAATATGTTGAACGTGTTTGGCTTCTTGAGATTTAAATTTATTGAGCTCAGATTCTGATGCTTCAAGTTCTGCAGCTAAAGTATTAACTTGTATCTTTGTTGCTTCAGCGAGCTTAGCTTCAAGTACTTTTATACGTCCAATAGCTTCAGTTTCTGATACTTTTACAGATTGTAATTCAGTTTGAGTATTTTGTATTAACGATTCCAGTTCAGTAATAAGTTTATCTTGATTATTGAGACTATTTTCTTTTTCTAATAAATTTTTCGTCGCTTCATTAAATTTAATTTCCAATTCCTTGATTACATTAGTCCGTTTTTCATCAGAATCTTTTGCTTCTTTTAATTGTAAACGAACGATTGAAAGTTTCTCTTCAAGAGTAGAAATAGTTTCTTTGTTAATTTTTGAAGAATCTTTAGCCATGACCAATTCAGTTTCTAAATTCGTTAAAGTAGATTCTAATTCCTTGATGGCATCTTTTTGATTAGATTCTCTTTCTTTAAGAATTGTTGTCAGTTCATTTACACGTTTAGCATTTTCATCTCGTTCCTTTTCGATAATATTCATTTCAGCTTCAAGTTCGACAATCATTTCATTTTGAGCTGACATTTCAAGTCTAACATTACTTAATTCTTCACGTAAATTTCCCACATTTTCATTACCAGCTTCACCTGCAAGTTTATAAGTTTCAACTTCAATTTCTAGAGCTTTAACACGTCTTTGTGCATCATCTCGTTGTTGTTGAGTATCTTTTAATAACATGGATATTTTTTCTAATTCTTCCGATGATGAATTTGTATTCTCTTTTGCAAATGCTAAATCCTGCCTAAGTGTTTTTAATTCTTCTTCTAAAGAAACTACGAGCTCTTTTTGAAGGCTAAAACCTCCCTTCATTGATTGAAGTTCTTTAACAGCAGATTCTTTTGAATTTCTAATTTTACGAAGTTGTGATTGAAGTTGTTCAATTGTTGTCTTTTGTTCGGATTCTAATTGTTTTAAAAATACAACTTCTTCCTTCACTGTTTCAAAGACTTTTATTTCTTTTTGAGCAGAGATATATTTAGATTCTAAATCTTGAACAGTTCTTCGTAAATCAGCTTCTGATGCTTTTAATCCGGCAATTTGATCTCTTAAAATGGAAATATTTGGATCTTCATTTTTAATAAGTTCTAATTGAGATTCAAGAATTTCAATTTGTTTACGTTGTTCTTGTTCTTTTCCAC